TTTTTTTTTTTTTTGAGACAGGGTCTTACTGTGTAGTTCAGCCTGGCCTTGAACTCACTATGTAGCCCATGCTGGCCTCAAACTTGAGATGATCCTCCTTCCTCAGCCTCCCGAGTGCTGGGTTTACAGGCATGTGCCATTCACGCCCAGCTGGACATCTTTACCTTGTTCATGATTTTAGAGGAAAAGCATTTAGTTTTTCTCCATTTAATGTTGGCAATAAGTTTGTCATAAGTGGCTTTTATCAGATTAAGGTTCATCTGTACCTATTTTTTTTTTTTTTTTCTTTGGTACTGGGGATCGAACTCAGGACCTTGTGGTTGTGAGGCAGGCACCAGAACCACTGAGCTAAATCCCCGGCCCTGTACCTATTTTCTTCAGGGTTTTTATCATGAGTGAAGGTTGGATTTTGTCAAAAGCTTTTTCTGTGTCTATTGAGATGATCATGTGATTTTTTTTTTTTTTTTCTTTTTTTGTACCAGGGATTGAACTCTGGTCTTTGCGCTTGCACAGCAGGCGGATCATGTGATTTTTGACCTAACTTTTGTTACCTGTTTTATTTAACTGTGAAATATGTAGCTAGGTGCAGTGGTATGTGCCTGTAGTCCAAGCTACTTAGGAGGCGGAGGCAGGTGAATCACTTAAGCCCAGAAGTTTGGGTTGGGGTCAGCTCTTGCCTCCAAGAGGGTGGAAAAGTACTTGAATTCATCATTGATAATGAAAGGGTCATACTGATAAGTGTGTGACAGTTTATAGAGATAGAGTTCTTGGAAGTTGTAGGAATAATAATTTTCCCTCTTTTGCTCACATAAGCTTATTAGGTAAATCAGCAGATTCTAACTTTTATTTTTTTTTTGTTATGGGGACTCGAATTCATGACCTTGCGCTCACCGGGCAGGCGTGGCACCACTGAGCTACATCCTTGGCCCTCTAACTCTTAATTCTCAGTTTTGAGAATTAGCCTTTTCTAGCTAATGTGCTTCATTAGTGCACATTTTGCTTATGAGTAATTAGCTACTCAGGAGTAATTTAGTATGCTGATGGGGTTAGATCAGAGACTAGTATTAGGTCTCAATATTGAAACAGTGTATAGTACCAAACCAGTTATAAAGTGGCCACGTGGGTAGATATATCTCATAATACTTGCCTCTTTTGTAACTCAGATGAGCCAATAATTTCTACAGAAATAAAATACTAGATTATGATTTTAACCAGTAACATAGTTCAGAATATTTTTAATTGATCCTGTGTTATTTTTGATGTTTTTTAAACTTAAAAATGCAATACTGCTGTTTCTTTTAACAAACTTCTTTTAAAAATTTTATCCCAGGCTGGGGATTTAGCTCAGTGGTGCTGTACCTGCCTGGCAACCTCAAGGTCCTGAGTTCGATCCCTGGTATGGCAAACAAATTAAAAAATTAAAAAAATAGGGCTGGGGATTTAGCTCAGTGGTGCCGCTGCCTGCCTCACAAGCGCAAGGTCCCGAGTTTGATCCCTGGTACCAAAAAAAAATTTATCCCATTCCTCCCCTCAGGCTCCCTGCCCTCCCCATGCACAAAAGCTTTATTTCCATTTTTTTTTTATATTTTCACTTTTTTTCTTGTCCCTTTCTTCCTTTCTCCCTTGTTCACCTTCCCATTTGAACACCTTCTTCTCATTTCCCAACATCCATTATACATCTCAATCCTTATTTCCACATTCAGTTTCTCACACCAGAGAAACAGTGTGATATTTAAACATGTGTGTCCGATTTATTTCACTTAAAGAATATGGTCTCAAGGACCATCCATTTAGCTGTAAATGTCTGAAGCTCATCCTTCTTTATGGCAGAGTAGTACTCCATTATATAAAAAAACCCCACATCTTCTTTATCCATTCATCAGTTGATGGGCACTTGGGTTGTTTCCAAGATTTTGCTTTTACAAACTGTGCTGCTATAAACACAGGTGCACATATATCACTGTGGTATGATGCTTTTAATTTTCTTGGGAAGATACTAAGAAGGGAAATAGCTGGGTCAAATGGAACCTCTGGTTTTAGGGGGGTTTTTTTGATCAAACTTGGGTCCTTGCCTCTGGTTTTAGTTTTTTGAGGAATCTCCGCACTGATTTCCACAGTGGTTGCACCAGTCTACACTCCCACCAACAGCGGAGAAGGGTTCCTTTCCCCCACAACCTTGCCAGCATTTGTTATTGGTTGATTTCTTGATAGCAGCCATTCTTTCTGGAGTGAGATGGAATCTCAGCATTAGCAAACCTTTTTTTCTTAGTTCAAAATACAGTATGAATTTGTATTTCCTTGGTGAGAACCTCGTAGTTAATTTTGCCCTTAATGATTGCATGGCATGGTAACTCAGAGAGTAATAATTTGTGAATGGATATGCAGTGGTGGCGCCATCTACCAAACTGCCTTCCCTCCTGTTCCTCCCCACCCTTGCCTTGCTGGGGAGACCTGAGTGACCAGAAATCGCAGCAGATTTAACCATGAAGAGTTCATTGTTTTGCCAGGCATGGTGGCGCATGTCTGTAATCCCAGCACTTGTGAGGCTGAGGCAGGAGGATCTTCTAGTTTGAAGCCAGCCTGGACTACATAGCAAGATCTTGTCTCAGAAAAAAAGAAAAAACTTTTTTAAAAAATGTCTTTTTTTTAACCAATACATTACATATATAAAAATTGTATTTATGTATGTATTTTTGTGTTGTTTTGATACATGGATATGGTGTATAAATGCATAACTGGTTAAACATATCTTCTCAAATATTTATCGTTTATGGGTTAATGGTTCAAAATCTTTTCTCTGTCTTCAAATATGCACAGTATTGTTACCTGTAGTCATCCTAGCAATAGCCCACCAGGACTTTTTGCTCCTAATTATGTGACTAGTACCCATTGCTCAGCCTTTCTCCCTTCCTCTCTCTCCTACTCTTCCCAGCCCCTGGTGAGCACCATTCCGCTCTTGACTTCTGTGAGATCAGCTTTTCCATATCCCATGTGAGTGAGATCATGAGGCCCTTGTCTCTGCCTGGCTTATGCTACTTAACATAATGATCTCCAGTGCCATCTATGTTGTCATAATGACAGGATTCCATTCTTTTTTATGGCTGAATAGGACTGTATTGTGTATCTGTGCCAGCTTCTTTATTCATCAGTTGACGGACACTTAGGTTGTTTCCACTATTTGGTCATTGAGCTGCAGTGAATATGGGAGCACAGATGTCTCTTTGATAGACTGATTCCATTTTCCTTGATATATGCCCTGTAGTGGGATTGCTGGATCAAATGTTTGTCTTTTCAACTCTCATCTTTTCTTTAGTTTAATTAATGTACGTTCTGAAGAAATTGTTTGATTTTGATCAAATATGTTGCTGAAGGTGACAGTATTTGTAGTCAGATAAATTTTTGGCTAATAGAAGTTTTCAAGTAGGTTTATATTCTGTGATAGTTACTGCATTTCTAAAAGTTGGGGACATAGGTAAAGGTTTCAAAGAAAAGTGTTTTATAAGAACAACAAAATGACTCATTATAGCCATTTCATATCCTGGTAAGGAAAAGCCAGTTCTGCAATACACAGAGGATGTTCTCAGTGTGATTTAGGAACTTATCAATTAATTGTGTGTTGAAATGTGTTAAAAATCTTCTACGTATCTAATTGTGTCTTCTAGGCCTTCTTTAAAGTCTCCCATGTCTCAATGGACTCCTGAATATAACGAGCTCTATACCTTAAAAGTGGATATGAAGAGTGAGATTCCTTCTGATGCTCCAGAGACACAGCAGAGTCTGAAAGGGATCCTTTTGCATCCAGAGCCCATTGGGGCAGCCAAAAATTTTCCTGCGGGAGTTGAGATGATTAATAGTAAAGTGGGGAATGAATTCTCTCACTTGTGTGATGATTCCCCAAAACCAGAGAAGGACATGAATGGTAATCAGCAAGAACAAGAAAAAAGCGTTGTGAGGAAAAAGCGCAAAAGCCAGCAGGCTGGCCCTTCATATGTACAGAACTGTGCTAAAGAGAATCAGGGAGTGTTGGGACTGAGGCAGCACCTAGAGGCCCCAAGTGATGAAGAAAACGATTCTTCCTTTAGTGATTGTCTTTCTTCTCCTTCATCCAGCTTGCATTTTGGAGACTCTGACACTGTGACTTCAGATGAGGATAAAGAAGTCTCTGTAAGACATTCCCAGACCATTTTGAGTGCTAAAAGTAGAAGTCATAGCGCACGGTCTCAAAAGTGGCCTCGTACTGAGCCAGAATCTGTGTCAGGATTGTTAATGAAAAGACCCTGTTTTCATAGCAGTTCATTGAGGAGACTTCCATGCAGAAAGAGATTTGTAAAAAATAATTCCTCACAGAGGACACAGAAACAAAAAGAGAGGATATTAATGCAGAGGAAAAAACGAGAAGTGTTAGCCCGAAGAAAATATGCACTGCTACCCAGTTCTAGTAGTTCCAGTGAGAACGACCTCAGCAGTGAGTCCTCTAGCTCATCAACTGAAGGAGAAGAGGATTTGTTTGTTTCTGCTAGTGAAAACCACCAAAACAATTCAGCTGCTCCCTCAGGTAAGAATGTTTGTATAAAACATGGAAGTCACTGCATTGTTTTTCTATTTATTTTCTTGTTTCTGTGTCTCAGTGCTTTTGTTATATTCAAAAGGACTATGAAATCCTGTGAACTTTTATTTTTAAATACATAAATTACCAACTATAGTATTAAACCATGACCCCAGTTCTGTGATAAAAATATTTCTGGTGACAAATACAAAGTTAGATTTCATGTGGTTTTTTTTTTTTTTTTTTTTTGGTACCAGGGATTGAACTTGGGTCCTTGTGCTTGCGCAGCAGGCAGTGAAACCACTGAGCTAAATCCCTGGCCCTAAAGTCAGAGTTTTTGGAATAACTATTTATACCTTTTTTTGTTTTTGTGGTACCAGGGATAGTCCTCAGGACCTTGTGCTTTCCAGGCAGCCACGGCAACACTGAGCTAAAGCCCCAGCCCTATACCATTTTATAAATAATTTTTAATGGGTTGTTGATTTATGATAGAAAAGCTTTTTTCCTGTAGATTTTTTAGTATGTTTAACTTTGAATACTTTTTCAGATACCTAAGTGATAGAATTTTTTCACATTGAATCAGACAGTTCTAATCATTAAGACTAACATTTCTCTTTTAAGTACTCTGTTGTTGTTCATGGTTACCTTATCCTGTTCTTCATAGCTGAAAAATATTTTGAAGTATTTGAATGGTAACTTACTGAAATACTAAGACTTGTAATTTTTGGTCTTCGTAGAGCTTAGTAGAGCATATATAATAGTGGCATAGCTCTTTTACTTGCTTTCGTGCACTTGCATGCACTCTCTCTAGTAGCATATAAGAAGAGGTAAGATCACCCACAGCTAGGAGGACCATGTGGCAGTCATTGTCTGAGGTCTCTAGAGGAAGCAGGAGAAAAGGAGTTGTCTTGCTTGTCACATTTTTCTCATGTGGCCGCAATATGAAAACCTTTGCCCGGGTGTGGTTACACATGGCTGTAATTCCAGCACTCTGGGAGGTTGAGGCAGGAGGATCGCAATTCAGGCCCAGCCTGGACAATTTAGTGACCCATTGAGACCCTGCTTCAAAATAAAAATAAAGAATAGTTGGGGATATAGGTCAAATAAAGGTCCTGGTTTCAGTATCTAGTACAGGGGGAAAAAAAAGGGAACAGCAGAGCCCACTTTCTGCTTTAAGGTGTTGAGGAAGGCAGTGGTTGGTGAAAAGGAGTAAAAGGTCTAAGGAGCTTATGGGTATTGTAGAGGATTGAGAATATAGTAAGTGAAAGTTAATACTAATATCTGTTTCTGGGAATGAAGGCGTTCGTATGAAGTGTGATCAAAAGTTACAGTGAATGTTAAAAAAATTATAAAGAAAACTATAAAAGTAAAAAAATAAAAATATTGCTGCAGAAGACATGTTGCTGCTATTGCTGGTTAAAATATGGCCCCCTCTTCAACTTCTTCTCCCATTGTTCTTGCCATTTCCTGAAACAGTTCTGGAAGTCCTCTTTCATGAGTATCTTTAGTTGTGCTCTTGTAGCTGCTTTCATGTCCTGAATTGATTCAACATACATACCTTTTGTGGTCATTTTGACTTTGGGAAGAGCTAGAAGTTGCAGGGTGCCAAGTCTGGTGAATAAGGTAGATGAGGACACACTATAATGTTTTTATAAGCTTGCCTTTTTGAGCACACCTCAGACACTCATCAAAGTGTTTATCTCCTTCAGAAAATGTAGACTCATGTGAGGATAAGCAAATGATGTAGGTCTTTCCGTATCAGTACCTGCAGTTATCTTGTTATTTTTAACAGTTACATTTTAAAATTCCATAGTTGAAATTCCATAGTTAAAATTCCATGTGTTGAAATTCCATAGTTCATTTAGCTAGCTTTTATTGATATTTGTTTTATTGAACAGCCTCATACACACATTTTTGCACACTTATGCAAGGATATCTTTTTTTTGGTACGGGGGGATTGAACTCAGGACCTTGCGCTTGCAAGGCAGGTGCCAGAACCACTGACCTAAATCCCCGGCCCCTATGCAAGCATATCTTCTTTATTTTTTTTTTGGCACCGGGGATCGAATTTGGCTCCTTGCGCTTGCGCAGCAGGCGGCAAAACCACTGAGCTAAATCCCCGGCCCCTATGCAAGCATATCTTCTTTATTTTTTTTTTGGCACCGGGGATCGAATTTGGCTCCTTGCGCTTGCGCAGCAGGCGGCAAAACCACTGAGCTAAATCCCCGGCCCAATGCAAGCATACCTTAAGACATAATTTATACAAGTGTGTCAGAGGGCATATGAATATAAAATTTTATTAGTTTTTATTACCAGAAAGCTTTCCAAGGGGTTAGCATCCTGTTCCTTAACTGCACAGTCATGGATAATGATGTCATGATGATAATAAAAGCACTTAGCACTTGTATAGCTGTTCTATACCAGTAATAATCTGATTATGTGTTTTCTTATTTAGTCCTCCCAATTCTCTCATTAGGTGTATTCTGCTGTCATCACCCATTTTAGGATTTATATTCAGAAGAGTTAAACTAAAGTATTGATTGGACTTAGCTTTACTCTAAGAAACCTCCGCTCTTTCAAAGAATTGACTTCTTAGATTCCTAGGAAATACTTCTTTTAGACATGTTTTGAATGCTGGTATTATTAGAAGTATTGCCGTAAAGTGTCTTGCAAGAAGTTATAGTTTGGGCCGGGGATTTAGCTCAGTGGTTCTGCCGCCTGCCTTGCAAGCGCAAGGACCCAAGTTTGATCCCCGGTACCAAAAAGAAAAAAGTTATAGTTAATTCAAGTGGTAAAACTAAAACTTGAACCCAGACTTCATGACTCCTAAGTCCCACTAATATATCCGTGGATGTCAGGGATAGGGTTGGAATGTCTCAGCTTTTACTTAGATTTATATGTAAAATGATAATCTGATTTATATGAACAGACACTAGTTACTCTGAGGCTATTGAGAGTTTTTCATAAAATGTGCATCAACACTTACTAGCTATTGCTGCAGTGAAATGATAGAAAAAAAGTTTTACATTTTAAATTTTGTAGTATCTTAAAACTTATTATGGCCCAAGAATCACATACTGATTTTGTAGATCGTGTATTTTACCACTTATCAAAAAAATGAGTTCGTGTGTTATTATTTTACATTGTATTGCATCAGTTCATCAGTTATAATCACTGGATTTCTGGAAAGTATTTTCCTCTTGCTGTAGTCTAATGGAAGCCAAGTTTGAGAACACAACTGTAGTTATTGTTAGTGATTTTTTTTGTGTGATCTATTTAGTGAACCTTATCTGAACTGCTGCTTAATTTTCTATTTTATACCATTAAAGCCTTGAGTTTTCCACTTTTTGATATGAGACTTCCTTATAATTTATAAATTTAAAAAATTACAGTAATGAATATTTCTAGATTATCTCTTCTCCAGACTTGAAGGAAATTGAAATACTATATATACTGTCAAATAAGATACCTTAAATATGTCAGTTCCATGTTCCCATTGTGGAGAAATAATATCTTTGATTACCTTGAAATGTATACTTTTAGGTCTGTCGTTAGAACAGTCATGTCTGAGGCGGGATCACTGTGAGTTTGAGAACAGCCTGGGCTACATATTTCTAGGGCAGTGTGAATTACATAGTGGGACCCTGTCTCAAAAAAACAAAACAAAAGAAAACAATCTGCAACAATCATGTTATGGTCTTTTTTTTGATACCTGGGATCGAACTTGGGACTTTGCGCTTGTGAGGCAGGCAGCGAAACCACTGAGCTAAATACCCAGCCCAGGTCATGTTTTATTTATGTTTATGTATAAAATACTGCGTGTACATATGAACTTAGAAATACTACCGTTTACTAGAATTTTTTTTTTTTTTTGTACTAGGGATTGAACTTGGGACCTTGAGCTTTCAAGGCAGGTGGTGGAACCATTGAGCTAAATCCCCAGCAGAAATACTACCTTTTGTTACTATTATTTCCTGAAAATAATGTTATTCACATAAGCATCTTAGATATTAGTTTTTTTGGTATTCACTAAAACCTTTTTTTTTTTTTTTTTTTGGAGTTAAGGTCTCTGTATGTAGTTCAGGCTGGCCTTCAACTCACTATGTAGCCCAGGCTGGCCTTGAACTCAGGGCAGTCCTTCCCGCCTCAGCCTCCTGAGTGCTGGGATTACAGACATGCACCATCATACCTGACTAAAACCATATTTTCTGAATTCATCAAATTCAGTTTTCTAGAGCATATCATCTTTGAATACTTTGAGGTAATTATATTATACTAGAAACTTTATCTCAGACTCAAGTTTTATCTTATTCATAAAACAGTATTTATAAAATTAATCCAGTGATTGTGTTCATGTTTCTCAAGTGTACTCCATACTATGTTGACTTTTTGGCGGGTGTGTGTGTGTGTGTATACTGGGATCAAACTCAGGAACTTGTGCTTGCAAGGCAGGTTGCGGTACCACTGAGCTAAATCCCTGGCCCTACACTGACTTTAAGTGTTTTTATTTTATCTTTTTGGCACAGTTTTGCTATGGAGTCCAAGTTGGCCTTGAACTTACTATGTAGCCCAGACTGGCTTTGAACTCATTGCAATTCTCCTGCCTCAGCCTCCAGAGTGCTGAGATTACAGGAGAATGCTGCCATGCCAAGCTTTATGTGTTTTGTTTTGATTTTTTTGGTACCGGGGATCGAACTCCGGACCTTGTGCTTGCAGGGCTGGCAGTGGAACCACTGAGCTAAATCCCCTGCCCAAGCTTTATGTGTTTTAATAATTGACATAAAATGATAACCAACTCTTGAAATTGTAAAGTCTTAACACCAGGGTTTATATCTAGTGTGTGAATATTTTTTTTCTCCTTTTTTGTAAAAATACCCCCAAGTTATTTTTTCGGTTTTATGATTCTGTATGGGAATATGTAGACATTCACAAAAGTAGAAATACAACAGTACCACATTATCTCTCTTTATTACCTTTGCTACTGTTGACAGTCTACCATTCTTCATCTC